ATATATATGTATGTATTTGTAAAATCAACAGAAATCTGCAAATCGGAAAATCCCTATAAATTTCTTGCATAGAATGGCTTTAAGTCATTTGTTCCTTACACAAATGATGCTTAAAAAAATGCCCAAGTAGTTTTAAATATTCTCTGTTCTTTTTTCGCTCGTTATCTTGGAAATAAAAAGAAAATGCAAGTGCACTCTGCCTCTGAAAAACATCCTGACATGAACGTAGGATATCTTCACTGCACTGTAAAAGAAGCTTACTCCTTAGCAGAGGCTTTCTTTGCCATAATGATTTGAATCATGTTTAACAGGTTTTGAGAAAAATCTAAAACTTGTTTGGCTAAAGATTGCTTCTTTTTTTTAATCAAAGTTTTGTGTCTGAATTACAATCATTGGACAATTTCATTAACTGCTTAATAATCTTGAGTTTTACTACAAAAAGCTAAAAGAAAAACATAACTTTAAAAGCATTAGCATAAAGACTTAATCACAGTGAAGTAGAACAGGTAAACCAGCACCTTCTTTTCACTTATTTTTCATATTGCTGAAATAATTCAGAACCATATACTGAAACTTTGAAAACCCTACAAACTACCTAGATGAAAGTATTTAGGTACAAATAATGTGTCTCTGGTTTTCATTTGCAAGTTAAAATTCTTCCTTTCCAACATAATTAATTACTCTCTAATTCTGTAGATCAAGAGTTTTTTTCCCATAAAACTCAAGAACTCTATTCTTGTTAGAATATTGCTTTGACTAAAAAGTGTAGAAATAAAGAAATATATGAAATGTGAAATACTACGTATCAACCTCATAAAAACTCCAAATCCCCATGTAGTTTTAGGTATATCAGGAAAAAAACCCTAAAATTTTAAACTTCCTGTTAATTTTGTTTATATTGACAACGTTAACTTTGCAGCGTAAGAACAGACCTAAACAAAGCACTTCCTCCTTTCTTAATGCTCAGGAGAAGAATACACTCTACGTGAAAGCTGCAGCACTTCTTTCATTGTGTAAGGGATGTTTTATGGACACATAGCAAAGTAGCAAAGAGATGTCCAATGGTGCAAATTACACCAGTTACCATGAATGTTTCAGGATGAAACTATAATATTTAAAATGGAAACAAAAGAAAACTCAGTTGCTCCCAATACACCTGTTAGTTATCACTACTATAGTAAAACCTGTTTAGTACTGAAAAAATATAATCAATTGAATTTTACTTCAAATCTTAAAATTTGGCAATCTTGATCACATACATATTATATCAGAAATTCCTTTCACACACATACACGGTATTTGAAACTATCACTAAACTGGACTCAAATGAAGAAAACTCTATTCTATACCATGTTGTGAAATTAAGTAATTTGAAACTCACATGGTTAAGTAATGTAGAAAGCTTTGATCCATCTTGAATATTCTTCTCCAAAATATTCAGGACTTTTACTGTCTTATCTGTTGAGAGCTAAAGCAAGAAAAGAAACACATCAAACAACTGCAGGAACATAAAGGCTTCCAAATTGCTGAAAAGAATGTCCATGGGTGAAGGATAGAACTTGTTATATATTCTGAAACACTTAAATTGTAAGCAATTTGAGATAAGGATCAGATCTTGACTTCCGTGGTTTCTGACACAGCATGACTGAGAATGCTGATAATGTAAATAAACTAGGTGAAATATATTCTAAGATTGCAATCAAACTGCACTTTCAACCAGCAAAATCCATAGGAATAGATTTAAAATTGCATATCTGTCATTAATGTTGTATAGTTATACACTTTTGCTTCTAGAAACTGAAATTTACCAAATCCAAGTATCAATCACAAATTCTAACTGACCATATAGAGCTTTATTACGAGAAAATCCAAATTCCATGAACAAACAGAAATAAAATTCCCTGACACTTGAGTGCTAATAAAAAGGAAATGTATTCTTAATATCAGTGTTAACTTCGAAGAACTAGGACGTTGAAAAAAGTAACTCAAACTCACGTACTGATCTTCTACAGAATTATGATTAAATAATTTGTAGAATATGCTAAACCTGAGGAAAGCCAGTTTCACTCATCCAGATACTATTGACACTCACCTTTAGAAGCAATAAAATTCTGATTTTATGTGTATGTGTATGTATGTATGTATCTATGTGTGAAAAATAGGGACCAGAGGTTAAGGGTGAGAACTATGAGGAAAAAGAAACACTCAGGCTGACAACATGCTACAGAGGAAGGTAGGGAGATTGAAGAAAAGTCCAGGAAGAATATCGAAATTTTGGATTAAAGAAAACCCTTCAGAGTGACTTTTATAATAAATGTTCACAGACACTTTATAAACATAGTAAATGGTCATGAGCAGGCAGAGTAAGAGTTTAACATAAGACTGCCCAAAGCCAAGAGTTCCAGGAAGATAAGGAAAGCAAGAACATTGTTTCTAGAGGTGTGATACCAACAGTTTGCACCAACAAGAAGTTCCCTTGAACTGAAGTTGGGAAGAGTATGGCAAAGAAACCACAATATGCAGTCTACAAAAAATTAATCTTATAATCATCTGTAGTGTTAAATTTTCTAGGTTTGAAAGGCATTTTTGGAGAGACGAAGGAAGCAGGCAACTCAGTGTAATGCTGGCTGGACATCATACATTTACGTTGCACTGATGGCGTATATCAGAAAGGGTGGATTTTTTTACTTTGCCAGCAGGTTCTGATTTACTGTGGTTGCTCAACACCAGCTGTAAGGAGCAAAGCCTATAGGTTGATGTGCTTTTGTGAAAGTAGATTAAGTATTTTAGATTTCACTGCTCAGGCATTGGTATCACATATTGGCATATAGTCAGCATTGACACAGAGAAGGACCATTCAACAAAAATGTCTCAGCTTCAGAGACAGTAACAGTTAAGATGTGGTAATTTTTTAAGCATTTTAGCTAAGTCAGCAGAAGCACAACTGTTCACAGTATCTGTAACATGCACAGCTGAAGAGGATGGAATGTTATTACAGGAGACATGGGGTTTTTTATGTTTATCAAAATTATATGTTCAAAAAGAGTTAAAGACTATAAAGATGTACCTTGTCCATAATGCCCATTGCCTTGATCTTTGCAGATTCACTACCCAACTCACTAAGCTGATGCTTTCCCAGTAGCAATTCCTGTGGAATCTCATCATCATCGCCTTTAAAAAAAGAATTAAAAAATTAACAATCATATTTCTAATTAGACTTCAAGAAAATCAGTATTTTACAGCCAACATGAAAAAGCCAATTGAAGAAAAAGAACTGATTTTCCAAGTAGCTAGCATCTAATAGTTCCAAATAGTTAGCGTCTAACAGTTGCATCTGATGATGACAAATTTTGGTTGTGTTAAAACAATGACTACTTGTTAAATATGACTGGTTCTGAAATACCATTTAACAGCTTAACATGAGGCATCCATTTCTGAAAGTCACAAACTAAAAATTTTTAACATAGCAAACCCCATTTATTGCGGCTCTTGTGCCATCACCCTCACTTCAGTAAAACAAATTATTGTAGTCCTAATTTTAAAGTTCAAATCTGGGGAGGGGCAACAGATGAAAAACACATATGACATTAAGTACTTTGGGATACACTATGTCTTAATTGTATTTACCCTTACAAAAAAATCCATGACGTTACCAGACACAGAAAGAACCAATGACTTTACTATTAAGTCCAAGGTTGTACACGCTATTGCTTTAAAAACTGTAGTGATTTGTTTACTATGCTCCTTCCCTTGTTCTAATCCTGTGACAAAGATGGTAGGAACAAAATTAATGAATACTCTACCATCCATTTCAATAGAAAGTCACCTTGGTCAACCCAAACTACTTCCTCAGACACTTACGCCATGCTGGTTGGCTTTCCAGTGAAATGGATAACAAGCATACAGTGATACAGTGCCTCAGCCATAAATGCATAAGGACTCAGCTGCTTGAATTGAATAATCAAGCTCTGTTGGGTCAAAGGCCACAACAGATGCAAAATTATGTGCCTCAGACATTACTAGCAAGAGAACCATCTTATGTTAATGTTGTTTACAAAGATATGTTTGACAGAAGCTAACACACTAATGACATCCCAAAGAGGTATCCTTTCCACTCCAGGGGAATACTATTTGTCTCATTATGACTTATGCCCCTTTTGGATTCTGCAAGAAGGAGGAAAGAGGATCATCTTCCTGCAGTAGCAAGTGAAATTGGAAAGGTAAAGGCCACCACTCAAGGGGGAGGCTATATAAATGCAGTGTGCCCTAGGATGTATCACAGGCAATTAAATCACCAAGAAGGAATTTTGAAAATACTGAGATACAAAGTTTTTGGTGTTTCTTCTGTTTCTAATTGGGGAAAGCATTTTGAAATTTTCTGACATATTACCAAAAGCTGTAAAATCCATGTCTTCCAGATTTTCCAAAATATTCTCTATTGAAGCAGTAAACCTTTTGAAAGTCGAAGAATCCATCATTTCTGATGAAAAAAGAAATTTACAAGTAATTATTTTATATACAAAACAGAAAATGCAAAATACAAAACTGTAGAAAATAAATCTTCTAAAATTACCTTCAGGTGTTAGTTTAGGTTCATAAGCTTTCCTCTTCTTTTGTTTTTCTTTTTTCTTCATTTTTCTAGCCACTAATTAAGAAAATTAAGAAAATAAAGAGTGAAACAAATCTTTTCTCAAAAATGAAATAAAGGATAATTTACCTTTCTTACACTTGTATTCAATACTGCATGTAAAGGTGTTTATTTTAAAATGTTTAACATATCCCTTAAAAATGCGCTAGTATTATGGAATAAAATTAAATTTTTAAAATTATCAGTTACCCTCACTGAGGCTAGGGGGAGGAGAATAATCATCCATATCAGACTCATCGGGACTGCGATTACGGTAACGGCCACTACCAGAAGTCCTCCTTCCTTCATGATAATGACCACTTCTCCTATGGTCAGCAGAACTTCTTCTGTCATGTTCTTCATACTCCCAAGCTTCATCTCTATCCTTTTTATGTCTTTTACGAGAAGCTAGAAATGAAATGCATTTTCATTGTAAGTACAAAAATTCTACTTTCAATAGCTAAAAATTAAACATCTTTAAACATTTAAAAGGCGTGTAGATGTGGCACTTAGGGACATGGTTTAGTGGTGGACTTGGCAGTGTTAGGTTTACAGTTGGACTTGATGAAAGGTCTTTTCCAGCCTAAATAATTCTATGATTTGCAGGTTAAACACTGTTGTATAGGTGTTCTGTAAATCAAGTGAACACTCTAAAACTATTATTTAAAATTCTGTTACGGCATTATTCTAATTCTAATTATTCTAATTCTTTTGAATTACATGAAAACTATGCCTGAAACTGGTAAAGACACTAGCAACATTTAAAAATACAAATTTACAGGACATTTGTCCTTTTAAGCGAAGTAGGGAAAAAAAAAATCAAAATAAGTTTCATCCTTTCATAAGAGAACATTGAGATAATTTCTTCAGTTATCTAAATTGTGACTATTACTGGGTATCCATATTCCAATTCAGTGATTGCTTTGCCCATCTAACACAGCAAGTTCCAATGAGACTTGGCAATCTAGTTGCTTAAAGATACTCTGTTTTGCCAAGACAACTAAAATTTTGTCTTGATATATATTGCAGGAAATTCAGTGTAAAGGAGAAAGCTGGAGTCACAATTCTGGGCCAGACAACAACTCAGTATCACAGAAGGTTATTATAACCCGTTTTCAGTCAGGACCAAAAAGCCCAGCAGAAGTGAATGCTGAAGAAAGTAGGATAAATGGTCTATGCAGAAACAGAGATTTGGTGGAAATAAAGTGGGGGAACGGAATGGAGAGTTCTCTGTTATTTTCAAAGAAAGTCTTGTGTGTCTTGAAGGGGAGAGGGTGCTAAGATGTAATAGAAAAAGGATATGGAGGAGGAGGTAGATTCATTCATGAAACTGGCCAACTCTCCATCATCTATGTAACAGGATAACTGGGCTAGCAAAGAGATGTCTAACACAGATTGTACTGTGAAGATCAAAACAGCTCCAAAACATCACAGTCAAGACTAGCAGAGTTTATGCTTGTGAACCTGCATATAACAGCCCTGACATTTGTGTGTCTCTGCCAAAGTCTCCTGAAGTTTAGAGAGGTATGACTGCATATAGGGTTGTTTCTGAGTAAAATGGTTCCAAGCATTTGTACAGAACTGGAACTGAACTGACAAGTTCTTCCCACAACGCCAGTTTATTGAGAAGCATAGGAAACATACCAAGATATAGTCACACCTGGTATACCTACCACGATATAGTCAATGGTCAACCCAGGCTCAGAATTAATAAGAAAAACATTAAACCTGAGGTGATACTAATGCTCTGCACTCTAGAGAGCTCCCACTTCTGAAATCGTAGCACAAAACTTCTGCACAGCGGTGGTCCAAGTCTTTAAGGTAATAACTCAGTTCAGGGTTTGAGCTGTATTGCTTCCGGATCAGACTTGCTTCTGGAGGCAGTACAGTCATGTTCATGATGCCCGAGCTACTAACACTGTCTAAAATGGTTGAGAGTTAATTGCGATTGAAGAAATGGAGGGCTATCTTGGATACCTGGAGTGCGCATATTGGAGAAGAAAGTAAGTGTTTTGTGGGTAAAGACTTTACACATCTTAACTGATTCTTTTTCCCCACGAGACAGTATTTTTTGGAGGCAGATGACATCTGTCTCCACAGTTTACAGATCATCAGTATCAATTTAAGCTCTGTAGGATGAATTCTGACCCCAGCTACATCTCCATGAGAAAAGTAACTTCCAATATTGCTTTCCAGAAGAATTTTAAATTGACCAGTTTATCAATGCTGCACAACAAAACAGAATGTGTTATGGTTGTGCTGGCTCTGCAATGCAAGTAAGATGAACATGGGAACAGCTATTCACAATCACTGCTGTACAAAATCCATTTTGAAATAGATAAAATTGACAAAAAATTTAAATATTAATAACATTTCTAGAGTTATTATTGATTTTATACATAAATAGAGACTATTCAGAATATAAATACCCCATTTCCTTCTGAATTCTGCCAAACATTTATGCAGTAACACATTTAGCACTTATTGTATGAGAATTATTTCGTCAATTTTCAGTTTCTCACAATTTAATTTAATGGAATGTCCCTTCTTCATTTCTCCTCTTATATAACAATCACTATTTCACATTTTTTAAAGTTAAATTTCAGACAACCAAAAGAATTCTTCAATATTTATTCGTAATGGTACAAATCTATTCAGTTAGTTATTTGTTCAGTAATCTATTCTACTTGTCACAAATCTTTCATTCTCTTGATCATTTTGTCTCGTTTTAATTCAATTCAGTTCTACAGTATCCTTTGAGAAATATTATAATTTATTTTTAAACCAGATGTCCTCACTGAACTGTTTAGAATGATGGCCAGATCTCTTGAGTGGATAATGAACCTAGAATCCCTTAAAGTATATAATTACTGTGAAAGTTTTCCTTAATTTGCTTTACTTTGTATTTAAAAATTTCAACAGCCACTGTGGTTAATAGGTAGATCAAGGTATCTGAAATTCTTGACAATTCTCTCCATTCCCAACCAACTTAAATAATTTTGCTTTACTTATTTATTTTTTTTAATTCACTGTTACTAACATCATAAACACATGATATGATATGGTAAACAGAGAATATAGAATCCTGAATAAAGCAAATCATCATTAATCTTTTGCTATAACCAAAGACTGATTACAAATTACCTCAAGATCTCACACTCACGCTCAAAGCAGCATTACTAAGTTATAATTAAAAGGAAAAACAAACAAACAAAAGGACATTCTTTTCTGCTTCTTTGATAAAGATCAGAAGTATCGCTATTATAATTTTCATGTGTATGTGTGCATAAGCACTGCCTATCTGTTGGATGAGAACTTGAAACATATTAAAAAGCAGAACAAACAAATATTTCTCTTTTGGACCCTAAGAAAAACTAAAAAGCAAAACATTGTGTTTTACAAAAGTTTAGTGAGATGTTCATATAAGCAAAGGTCGAAAGAGTCTAAACTTGGGAAAAAATCATTATAAGCAAGACGCCTTCTCAGGTTAAGAGCAATAGGCAGTTCTCCTGTAGCCCTGCATGGGTAACACAGCTAAGATGTTAACGCAGACTGAACTGATTCACTCCGTTTTAATAGTGTTATTTTCAGTGTTGGCTAATTGAACTATCATAAAGACAAACTAACCATACTCTTACTAGCAAATAGGAAATCCCTTCCTAACTTAGAGGTATACAACAATCTTTTAACACTTAGGAACTTTATCTGATTGCACAGCAAAATTCTAACTACAAGCTTCCTCTCTTCCTTTGAAAACAGTTAATTCAAGAATAGTATCATCTGCAAATGATATTTTGAGAACCCATCAAATACCAGTTTTTCAAGCAATATGCCAGAGTAATAATAGAAGAAGAAATATTTTAAGAAACCTCTGGGCAGTAGGAGTCTCAATTTATCATGTCAGAAAAATTCAAGAGGGGATCCTTCACTTTTCTTATCAATAAAACTAAGAATAATTTAAGATTTATTTACTGAATTTTTTTTTTGCATACCTTTGTATGCAAGTTTTCTGTGCTGCTTTAGAGGATATTTTCCTTAATCTGATTGGCTAAAAATGTTTCATGGTACAACTGAAAAAAAAAAAAATCTAGGCAGCGGCTTCCCATAAGGTAATTAGGAAAAGAAATTTGTTAAATTGAATTGAAATCAAGTAATTTTTCTTTTAAAAAATTTTTCTTTCTTTAAAAGAAAAAAAGGGTTCTTGGCCAAGTAGTTGTCAGGACAGCAAACTTGTTTTCGTAAGTTTTAGGATAGCCAACTTAAAAAAAAAACCTGTATCTTTTTGTAAAAGCAAGTATTAGCTTTCTTTAGCAGTAGGAACAGAACAATGTACTACTTACATTCAAAAGCTTCTTCACTGTCATTGTCTTCGTCAGAACTGATTTCAGCATATTTTGGTTTCTCATTAACTGTGCTACGTTTGCGCTTGTTCATTTTCACACGTTCACAAAGTGGCATGGTGGATTCAATTTCTGCCAGGAGCTCAGGAGGCAACTCCTTTAACACTGACTGATCTATGCTACCTATTAATGGAGAGTAAGAAGAGCAAATGTGAACTTGAAGATAAAAGGAAGGGCCCAACACCTCAGTCCTTTCTCAGGAACCGCTTACAGTATATCCACTAATAGTACCACAGTTAGATATACCTGGAGGTATTTGACAGTGCTTTTTAAAGTTGCATTTACTGTTCACACTACAATTAGAAATTAACATAATAAATTGCATACACATCTCCTTCAATAAAATATTTTGTCAGGCATATAAACATAAACAAATTCAAATCAGTGAATTTCCTTTGTAAAAAGATGTCCCTGCTCTACTTCCACAAAATTTAGTCTTATTTCAGTTCATCCTCTGAATTCAACAGGTTTTCTAACAGTGTAGGTAAATTAAGGATTCTTTGTGCCTCATTGACAGTTCTGTTTATTCTCGTTCATATTATTTAGTGTACACATGACAGTAATCTTCCCTTTTCCCGTAGGCAGGGACAATTTGTGGCAGAACCTCTGGGGTCTTATCCCTAAATACAGGCCAAATGATTGACAACCCAACCTCTGCCTCAGATTTTTTCTTACCTCCTACTAGTAGTTTTATAATGCAACCCAAATTTTTGCTCAATTTTGTTACTAAGCAAAGTTGAAAGATTTTTATTTAATATAGACAAACAGCAAGCTGGACTGCATCTGGTTTCTCTTCCACAGAGGTAAACAGGTAGAAACATCACACCATTCTCATCACACTTTGAAACTACGATTAAGACCCATAGGCAGTCAGAACGAAGGAGATTTGCAGTCAAAATTTTTACAACTGACACAAGGAAATAAAATTAATTCAGAAGTATTTCTTGGGGTTTTGTTTATTTGATGTCTTATCTTTACTTATCAAAGAACCTATTGCACAGATTTGAAGATTATCAGACTAAACTGTTAACCTTTTTCCAACAACAGAACAAACATTTTTGTCATAAGCGCCTCTCTCTCCTTCCCAAGGCATAGTATGTTATTTAGACAGGAAATCACTTGCCAATTGCTATGCACACACACACACAATCCTCCAAAATATAATCTTCTGGATGATAATCCACTTTTTAATTGCATTCACTTTATCACTAACATAATTTTCTAAAATTTATTTCCATTTTTACACTAATATCTTATCTTATAATCCAAGACTAGTCTTTTTCCTTTTTTTCTTTCCCTCTTTAAACATCTCTAACTGGAATTAGAAGAGCCTTAGTAGGAGAAAATAGTTTTGTCCAAACTTTTTGAACAGTTTTCCAAAAAGTCTCATGTATTTCTGATTTCACATATATCTACATTCACAAAAATTGCCTCCAAGCAATGAAACTCATGATCAGAAAATTATTTTTCTGTAATTCTCAAGTATGTTCAGCAAGTCATCTCATTTATGTGCATTTTTTAAAAAGATTTATTAAAATACTGGGCTTTTCAAACTGAAGTAGGGAAATATCTATAAAGCAAAACTAATAGCCAAAGTTGTCCCTGCTTCCCCCATGCTGTGGTCACACTTACTTATTTGTGTTCAGTTGCCATCCTTAGATAATGACCACCTGCCAAAGTTACCTAAATTCTCAATATTGCTTTCAAAAATGCTAGGAAACATTTCACAGTGTGGTTGACCATGTTACTGTAACATGATTACCCTTTACAGGCTGGGCACTTGATTGAAGATAGGCAGAAATATGCCAGCATGGACAGATCAGTTCCTCTATGTGTACCAACAGCTGACTGGATGACAGCCAGGTCTAATCTGGATGCTGCATAGACGTGTACCTGAGTGGTGGTGTCCCCACACTAATACTTCATGCCTTTTTGTATGCCTATACAGTGCCTGAAGAGATTTAGGTTATATCCAGCCCCAGACTACAGGAAAATCCACATACACAAGTTCTAAGACAATTTCCACACATGAAATCGCTAGAGGGCCTCAGATCCTGGTTCTCTAACACGTATTCTCAATTTTATACACTGTTGGTAATTTCATTGAAATCAGCAGGACTATACACATAGCATAAAGCCTACAGTAAATCTGGCCAAACAATGACATTGCAAAAGCCAGCTACAAGTAAAGGAACAAAAGTTGCATTAAATCCCCAAACAACAAACAAAAATCACAGGCTACTACTCTCCTACCTCCTAGAAATATCTATTCTTGATTTCCTTATTGATTTTGTTCCCGGGATAGAACTACTCAAATCTTGAAAAATAAATCAATTGCCACAGGATTAATTAGATATCAATGAAAAAATAAAAATGCAACTACTTTAAATGTTTGGAAAATTAACTTTATTTCCTTCTCAAAAGTTCCAAGTTTTCTATGTTCTCCAGAGCTAAATTCAACTAATGCCTGAATTGCTCTCTCTCCTCTTACAGATATCTCAGATGACAGTATAAGCTTACCCTTTTTTCTTTTATTAGGGAATATGTAAAGCTTTCTTTATTCAAGTAGGGAACAGCAGAAAAGAGAACAAATAGAATTGCTGTAAAGTTCTCTATAAGCTGTCTTTAAAGTTTTTGTTTCTGCCACAATGTTCCCTGGAGCAAGTCTGCCGTATGCCCAGTTTCCTTAGCTGCTGAGGATTGTAAATAACCAAATCTAAAAAGAGCTTTACTCATGCAGTACAAAGAAGTTAAGCATGACTGCACATGTATCTACAATTCTGATATACATGGAAAAGGACTCCCCATCCTTTCTGAAGAAACCCAGGGATATTATACATTGTGGGACTCCAGTCAAGAGCGTGTTAATATTTATTTTACTCTATTACTTGTGTTATGTTGAGTCAGGGCAATCCAATCTTCAGCAGAAACATCTTACTAAATTCCTTCTTTTGTACCTCCGTATTTTATAACGAAGGTACTGTTTATTTGTTCAGGGTAGTAAAGAAATACTTAAGAAAATCCAGTTCACCATAAGAATCCAGTCACATGGTAACAAACATGTTAATGCCCTTTCAGTTTACGGGATACTTTTCAAAAACAATTAAAAGAATATACAACACAAACCACTTTGAAAGTATCTACAAAAACATGTGTGATCACCTTCAGTTTTTCAATTTCTTTGATAAGTTTGCTAAGACCTGGTACCTACTTTCATCAGTTACATTCACCTCTAGTTTGCACGGCTTTTTAAATAGCTAAGGAGAAAGTAACTTTACCAAAAAGTTACTCCACAAGTTCATAAAAATGCCCCCATCAATTGGCTTTCTGAAGAACTGTCCTCATCAACGGAATAACTCAATTTTTTGCAATGTGTGTGATCAGGGTACACAGTATGCCTGAAATGGGCTATAGGCAATAGTGTTCTTCAGACATCACTTACACATATTCTTAAAGCTGCTGCAACTATTAAAACAAACAAAAAAAACAGAAGGAAAGTACCATCATAAGTACCATTCTTTGTCTCACTGTAAAGAACAGCATGCTAACAAACTCCACGTTAGTGAAACTGAAGGGCAAGTCACACAATAGCTGTAAGAACAATTAATCTCAAAGAACTGTATACATGAACAGCCACTTCTTCTTCAGTGCTTCTGCAAACGTATGCAATGCTGTCCACGACTTACATACTAGTTGCTTGCTGAAGGAAGAACAAGCTCTTGTTTTTTGTTTGACTGCCATTATCAAAAAGTTTCTTAGAGAAGGTATTCAAGAATCTTCAGCTGTTACTGAATATCCACTGACCATCAAGATAGTTGTTTTCTCACCAAGCAATTCTTGACAAAATTAGTCAGTTAAAGATCAGCCAGAGAATCTCAGCTAAAAATTAGTTAGTCTATAAGCCTCCTCCCATATTCTATTTTAACCTGGGAAGCTTTTCAAAGGGTTTTGCCATATATAGTAGGAAGATTTCTGCAAATATATAGTGGATGTAGTATTTCCCTTCTTCACGTATGGCTTAAAAAAAGAATGGAAAGGCACAGATCCGATTCAAAGTTCAGCATCGCTTTTTGTTCGTAACTTGATGGGTACTTTCCATCAAGTAGAACAGCCTTTAACTTTCGCTAATATTTACGCATATCTAATCTTTAGAAGGATCCAAAATCACTTTGCTTTGAATTTGCAAGTCAAAGAGATCTCCCTGATCTAGGCAGATGAATGCCTTCAAGAGAGGTTGAACATTAAAAAAAAGGTAACATCATTATGGACTTTTACTGGATCCATTCAATATGGACAGCACAATTATTTTTTGACACAAAATCAGTGTGTTCATATTAGTTTCACCTGGCTTGATATAACAACTTCAAACAAGCAGCTATGGAAAAGGGAATGATGCTTGCTGATGCTTAGGTCAGCTTTCCAGGATCAGAGAGGCTGTTCCTGCCATAAAATCAAAACCAACACTAATAAACTCTGTTATCTTCTCAGTAATGATCTATCTTTGCTTTCCAAACTATGGAAAACAAATGTATAGTTTACATTTTGATGCCATTTCGTATGAACTAACAAGTCATCAAGATTCAAATACATTTAGAAACCTAAACTCCGAATTGCTATTTCCATAACTATAAGAGATAGCCATACAGTGGAAACAATCTGTATCAGTTTGCTTATATGGTTACTTTTAAAATACTTGTGACATCAAAATGGCCTGTTTGCACATACATCTATTGTGGCAAATGAACAAGTGCTTGAAGAAAAACTGCCCCTGAAGTTCATTTCAAAACTGAGGTTTATGTTAATGAAGTCTTTTGCATAAATTAGCCTCCCATAAATATTGTCTTTTCCATTTCCATGTGCTAGTAGTTTGTCATAAGCAAAACTGCAGTTAATGCAATTTCATATTTGTAATCTCTATATATATATCTTGTATTTTTAAATGCAACTTTTCCCAGCTATCAAGACATTATATAAAAGAACACCAGCGTTGAGAGGGAACAGTGCCACTTGTTTGGGGTGAGGATATGAATCTTAACTTTGCATTTCTCAGTGCTTAGAAATTTAAGTTTAACCACTCCTCACATTCTTGAACTTCTACACTAATGAATTGCCACACATCTTCA